TGCTTTCACACTAGGTTTGGGGACCTGATGCAAGGCTTCTCGCTGAGAGGCCCGCCTGATACGAGCTCTACACCTTGGCAGAATGCAATATACGTTGTATCCAACTGTACAGTTAAGTCCTTGTCATAACACAAGGCTAGCTAGCTGACCTCGCATCAGAAGGGTCATCCACTTGCACTGGAAGAGAATTTTTCTTTCGGTCCCAAACAACACAGTGAAGAGTACAAGGGCTGTTTGCAAGGGCTGCTTGCACGGTATTATTTTCAGATACTCGTTCACGATGACATTCGAATTGAGTCATTCAAGGTATATATATAGAGATCTTGTAGTAAATATTAAGCCTGAACAGATAACATGTGCAGCATCTGATAGTGGTTCGGGCAGTCAGCACCGCATCGAGCTTATAGGATAGGTTGATAAGTAACAAAGCTATGTCTTGACTTTAGAAGATAGATCAAATTTATATTATAATAGACATAGGACTCAATTCCAAGTAATCCTTTAGCACCAATTGTCTCCTTTTGTGCTTAAAGGTGGATTGCGGTATTGAGCCTGAGGAAGATAAGTGCGAGCACAGTGCCAACGCCAATGAAGGGGGAATAAAAAATAGTATCCAACGCTCACAGACAATTCTAGCCAACCCAGCGCTATATTTTCTTTAATCTGGATCTTCCACTCTAATTCCTGACCACCATGTTGTATGTACTTCCCTCAGATTGATAACCATCCATGTTATTCTAATAAACAACCTGTTGAATATGCTCTCTATGAGTATACACTGATAACCACTAAAACAAACCCGAACTAGGTTACTATGGAAAATACCTGAGGTCTTCAATAATCAATCTTATAGTGAATCTAGCATACAGGCTCCGAAATGGATCTTATCCCGAAGCCCTAAATGCCCAGCCACGGTTCCAGGGTCGGGCCTCGGGAGTCGGGACAAGCTAGATATATATAGTCATATCTCGTCACTGTCTCTGCTATGCCCAAAATGCCGCTGCGGAGACTAGTCCTTATTCGGCGATCCGTTCCATAAGGTCCCGAATCCACTTCCACCGAGGAATGGTCAATGAATCATCTCCTCCCACTCGATCGAAAAGCCAACAAATTGCATCAGGATGAGGACGGGCTGATTATAAATCATGCCGCGGTCAGAGTCCACTCACGATACCGTGTCACCCATTGGCCATAAGACGAGGCGGTCGGTGACAAAAGCTTCAGACTACGGGGTAACTACTAACTAACTAATATGAAGCCAATTTGTAATACATTGAGGGGAATTTCTAAGCATTCAGTGGATTTCTTTAAATATATTAAGCTCTCATCCGCCAGCCTTGTCGGACCACATCATCCATCCACCTGAATTTCCATCTCGCAGCCAAGATGACTACCCAGAAAGCAATTGTCGTGACGTCCCCCAAGCAAGAGAGCCTGGTAACCGATCGACCCATTCCCGCTCTCCGCGATGATTACATCCTCGTCAAGACGGTCGCCGTCGCCCTCAACCCCACCGACTGGAAGCACATTGCATTCCTGGCCCCGCCCGGCGCGCTAATCGGATGCGACTATGCCGGCATTGTGGAAGAGGTTGGAAAAGCCGTCAAAAAGCCCTTCAAGAAGGGTGATCGCGTGTGCGGGTTTGCGCACGGAGGAAACGCTGTACAGCACGAAGACGGTTCCTTTGCCGAGTACATCGTCGTCAAAGGAGATGTTCAGATGCACATCCCCGATAACCTGAGCTTCCAGGAGGCCGCCACGCTGGGCGTGGGTATCACGACGGTGGGGCAGGGTCTGTACCAGAGTTTGAAGCTTGCGCTCCCGTCTGAGCCGGTCAAGGAGCCGGTTCCCATCCTGATCTACGGTGGCTCGACCGCCACGGGTACGCTGGCGATTCAGTTTGCCAAGCTGTCCGGCTATACCGTGTTGACCACTTGTTCGCCGCATAATTTCGATCTGGTTAAACGTCTCGGCGCGGATGCGGTCTTTGATTATAGAGATCCCGGTTCAGCCGCTGAGATCCGCAAATACACCAACAACAAGCTGAAGTTTGTTTTTGATACGATTTCCCTGAAGGAGAGCGCTGAGTACTGCGAGAAAGCTATTTCCACCGATGGTGGCGAGTACGGTGTTCTCCTCTTCGTTGGTATCGATCGTGAGAATATCACTACTCGCCACACACTTGCCTACACTGCTATTGGCGAGCAGTTTAGCTTTGGTGAACAGATCATGCCTGCCAAGGCGGAGGACAAGGAATTTGCCGAAGGATTCTGGACCATTGCAGAGAAGCTGCTGGCTGATGGCAAGATCAAGGTCCACCAGCCAAAGGTGAACCCTGGTGGCTTGCAGGGTGTCTTGGAGGGGCTGAAGCTCTTGAAGGAGGACAAGGTTAGCGGCGAGAAACTGGTATACAATGTCGCTGAAACGCCTTAGAGCACGACTGAGTTGATATCCGTTATACGTGGTTTCATAGGACGCTTAATGTACATAATCTACCAACAGTGTGGAATACAATAGTTGTACCAATCCATCTCTCCTGCAATCTCTGAATCTTGTTAACCACCCATCATCTGCGCCCAGCGTATCAGTATTTATTTAACTGAGCCATGCCACGACCATTGAAGCCATTGAAACCAAACTGATAGAGGCTCTCATCGTCACCAAAATGGGATTCTTCATCTTCTATCGCTATTTCATAGCTCGGCTATTTCTGTTCCTACCGGAATGATACTACCCCGCCGGGTCTGCGCATTCAAAAATCGCCAATTTGACGCGCTCTATGTAGTTACGGTAATGTAGTAGTAATGTTGAGCACACTCAAAACCCAAGTTACGATCCGATGCACTGAAGGCTAGAAATCATAACCATCACAATATAGTTAGCCTCTCGCAAATGGACCTCTAAAATCATATACTGTAGGTTCTGTAACCACGGCACACAAAGGGGGTTACATTAGACAGTTAAGTATTTATTTGTAAAAAAAAAAGTATATTTAAAAATACTCCAACCGATTGAGAAAGGTTATACCTATTTTATTTAGAACCAGTAATAAATCGCTCCTGGGAAGTTTGAAATTCGAGGATTATATAAAATGGTGGAACATTCTGTGAGATAGCTAGAAATGTCTTTCTTACCCTTCTCTAACTCGCTTACACTAAACCCTAAAGCAGTCGGAACTAACAATCCTCCAATCTGTACAGGGTCAGGGATGATCTCTCAATGATCATGGATGATTTGCCCGTTGTGGATCAACCAGTCCAAAGTGTGGTTCTGCAGCTATTGCGCAATCGCCGTGGGCGCCGAGGATGTCCCCTGATTGGCCGGTATGGTGGATGAGGAGCTGTCAAGCGATTTAGGGTGGCACTAGAGATGATGTAGAAGTATAAGAGATCGGAGGCATAGATGTAACTTATTGTAAGACTCGGAAGGATATATTTTGAAAGAATTGAGAACGATGGCCTGAGAAAACCGGTTTTCCTCTGGCGGTATGACGCAGCCAATGATACCAGTCAATTGCCTCGGCGATTGAAAGACTCCGGCGGGAGTCGCCGAGTGGAAAAATGTCACCTTGTGTGGTCCCTCGCCCAGGAATGCTACCACATCCACTCCCTTACCTCGTCCCTCACCCAAACGAGTGATTGATGGCCCCTTCCCCGGCAGAGAATGGGAGACCGGTCCGACCATCACCTCCATCGGGATGATGAGCCCGTCACGTCCGTCACCGACAACGAACCCAGACCGCCCTCGCCGACGGCCACCAGTCATTCCCGCGGCGAGGATCGTGTCGAACGAGACGCTTTAGAACTCCACGAAATTGAGACACAGCTGGATCATGAACTCAACTGCTCAACACCTTCGATCTCCTCCGGCGAGTATCGCATTACCACTCGCCGGACGGCATCACGTACCAGTCAACGCACGGAGCGAAGTCGAGCGCCACGCAAGGGGCTCGTAGGGAAGATTGAACGCTTCTGGACACGGAATGTGGTATTGACCGTTCCTCAGAAAAGTAACCGAGATCACTTTGGTAAGTTTATTTGATGACCTTCTTCATTCGATCTCTATTGAGGTTGTGTCATGCTGCTCGGTCTATCTCTTTCTGCCTTAAACTGTTCCCCTGTTTTCCTATATAGAAGAAGAGCACTTTCTAATGATGTTAGCGCTGGAGCGGACATTCCTGGCCTATATCCGGACATCGGTTGTCATCGCAATGCAAGGCGTACTAATCGCCCAGCTCTTTCGCCTTCAACAACAGCCTTCCCCCGAGGATCAATTGACATACTATGAAGTGGCCATCCCCCTTTCAGTAACGTGCCATTGCATTGCCGTCATTGTAGCTGTGCTAGGAGCGTGTCGTTTTTGGAAACAACAAAATGCGGTCGCCTTGGGAACCGTCTATGCTGGTGGTTGGGAATTGAACAGTATCGCACTGCTAATCGCACTGGTAGGTAAATCCTCCTTTAGCCACGAAGTGAGCCAAAAGAAAAACGACGGTAGCTAACCCGGCGTAGATAATTTTGGCGCTTTTTGTCTTATCGATCGTGATCATGGTTGAACTTGAATAACACGAACCAAAGGCTCGACAAAAGTAATAGACTTGTACAGTACAGCTCTTGGAGGGGTATTATATTTTTGACCAATAACATAGCAATTAGCATTTATGACAAGCAGAGAGGCAAGACCACTCTGCTCCAAATCTAATGAAACCATGCCATGACATCTACAGCTTCCAACCTATGGACATATCTTTTGTAGGTTTCTGGAGTCATACTTCCGGGAATCTTGTACACTACGGCATTACGAAGAAATGCTAGAGGTATCTCATTGAAAAGTGTATTGCAATCTACTGAAGTCGTACGCCTAGTACTAGCTATGATCAAAGAGACACAACATTCATGGCTCATGACAAAAATGCCGCAAAATCGCTCCAAATGCATGCAAATAAACAAAACGATGGTATAACAAAAGAGGAAACCAGCGTCATACAACCACTTTCGCCATCACCAAGCCAAAACCTCTTTCTGGGCTCCACAAGCGAGACCCGAGCAGATCTCCTCATCTTTCGCGCTGACCTTGGCGTCATTGGGCAACTGCTGCCTCGCCGGCCAGATCTCACGGCCCTCCTTCTTCTCTCGGTCAAAGTGCTCCGTGATGACCTCACGACAGGTGCTCTGGAAGAAGAGGGGAGCCTTCTCGTACTTCGGGTGCAGCTCGCCATTGACAAAGACGCCCCGGTTGAGATTCTTCTGTGCGTTGTTGCACAGAACCTTGTCTTCTCCCATGACGCGCGCATACATGTCATTGATCAGCCGGAAGTCCTCTTCCTTCGCATCCTTATGTCTCCAGATTTCATAGGCCATGGTCGAATGATTGGGACTTCGGGAGGAACTTCTGGACCATCATCCAATGTTTGCTGCAGACATGGGTCAGAGACGTGGTCAAGTTTCAGGTGGTAGATCACCAGGGGAGTCAAACTTACGTGACAGTCATGGATGAGTTGGGGAAGTAATAGGTACTCGCCGTGTTCAGACCTTTCGCGATCTGCTCTGGGGTCGATTTGCAATGGTGCTGAATATGTCCGTCTTTGACATCGCTGTCAAACGAATCCAGGTTGAGGAATGCCGGAATGTCGGCGTGAGTGGTGGGGCAGTGATAACATTCGTTGAAGTTATCCGCCAGAATCTTCCAGTTGTAGTCGCCCTCCATCTGATAGTTATGGTCGAATTCGTATTCATCGAAGTTGATGCCGTTCTCCTGATACCGCGCCTGCTTGTCGACGTCCTCAAAGTGCTCCTCCCAGGGAACTTCTGGCACTTCCTTCGCGTCCATGTTCACCCAGATAAAGCCGTTGACATCGACCTTCACGTGAATCCGGAAGAGACCGTTCTTTTCCTTGTCAAATCCATCCAGCTCTTGGTAGCCGGGCGCCTTGGCCAGCTTCCCGTTCAATCCGTAAGACCAGCCGTGGTACCGGCATGCGATGATTTTCTTGTTTCCGCAACCCTCCTCCTCGATGACGGGGTACGCGCGGTGTCGACAGACGTTGTGGAATGCATTGATGTTGCCTTGTCGGTCACGGTTGATAACGAAGTCGAATCCAGCGATCTCGTAGCGGAGCCAGTCACCCGCCTCCTTGAGACGCGAGCTGTGGGTGATGAATAGCCATCTCCTAGAGAAGATCGCACGGCGCTCGAGCTCGTACATCTCCGACGCGGTGTACCATGATGCCGGCAGAGCCCGGACCGGCGTTGGCTTAACCTCCGCACCCTTAGTAGTGGAGGCCTTGCTGCCAAAGTTGAAGTAGTGAAGCATAGAAGCCATGGCGAATTGTGAAGAGACAAGGTCACGGGAATGTGTCCAAGAGTTGCTTCTGTTTGTGATCTTGGTAGACAGGTGCCAGCGGTGGTGACGGGAAACTCCTTTTTATGTCCCTCCTGAGACGCCTGCTGATATCAAGTGATCGTAATCTCATCCTTATCAAGGTCCACCATTGCCACTATGAACATGACATATAGCTAAACTGGATTTGGAATGCGGAATGAGAACATTAATAGGACATTTGTGAATGTACGCCTTGGTTATGGACTCAATAACCCCATGGGGTAAGCAGCCCAGCTAGAATGGGCATGTTTTAACCAAAATCAGTCGTAGCGATCCATATTTAGGCCTGGCGGCACTGGGGCCGAGATGACCTTGATAATCGGACCCGTTCCCGCGGAACGCCCGATCAAGGGTTGGAGGCGTCGGCTTTCCCGACGAGCTTTTATCACCCACATATCCAACTTTACCTTGCCATTTTGAGGCTATCTGGCGCGTTTCTCTCCACACCTTTCTTTCCTCTTATCTTCAGATATCCACTTAAATTTACTCCTTCGGCTGACAGCGCGGATCATACACTCATTGCTTTGATATGGAATTCTACGCACTATCATTCCCCACGGGGCCACAGCACGGTTCCCAACGGCAGAGTTGAAGACACAAGACATCCATGTCATGATGATTCAAATAACAGGCATATCTGGTACCCAACCACACTACTACGCGACAAGCTATACAACACCTGATCTTGCCATCCCAGCGATCGAACAGGGAAAAGCTACTTCTCGCCACTGCATCGACCCGTCAAAGGTCATGTGAGGTGTTACTGGAAACTTTTCCCCAAAACGAACAGGTACCACACACGGGCTATCGACAGCAAAAATTAGCTACTGGGCGGTCCGGTGACATCGAGACAATGCAATCCAAAGAGCAGCAAGCATAGCTATTAGTCGGGATCTAATCCGACGCCAAACCCCTCCTCGTCGGTTGGCCCGTGCAGATATAGAGGATCCACCTTCTGTATCGCCGATATAGTGGGTCCGTTCCAGCACAGTGCCTGGATCTCTGCCACTACACAGATAAGATACTCCTAGTGCTGCAAGGAAGATGCACCGATTAAACTGGTTTGGGCATGCGGAATGAGAACATACTTTTACCCCTCAATAACTATAACTTAAACCAGGAATATGCGTGCACTAGTATATGGAATGTGTGTACGTTAGGCCGTCATGGTGACAGGAGCGTCCCCACATACCAATGCCCAAGAGCCAATGCCGAACAGGTATGCAGATGATAAAAGGCCGGGCTGAAGGCGATTTGCCCGGGTTCAAGCCGAGATAGGATGTCTCGGCTGACCCGAAGAGATAGCCAAATCTCTCGAAGACGCTGCCCAATGAGCTAGAAAAGAGTAATACATGCGATGTCCAGGGATGCTCTGTAGGATTGATTATCACGCTGGTACTGGAGGATAAGTATAATCAATATTTCTTATTGGTACAAGGTCTAGTTCTTGTAGGAATCGTTTGTGACGTTGAATCTCGGAGTTATACATGCATAAGATCATCAAGCATCGCATTGATTCCGGTCCTCGTAGATCCGGTCTGCTGTCATTCCCAAAAGGGAGCCTAGAAGGGTGATCAATAGGATATGCTACCTGGACAAGACCTTTGTCTTTCGGATTTCGCTATGTTCTTTGGTGGCCGAATCTCTTGGCGGCCGAGAAATGGTCCTCTCCACTATTGTTCATCCTATGCCTACAAATGTTCTGCTGGATGAGAGACAAGCATGTATACTTCGATGTGGTTTTGGTTCTATTGATATCAGAGGGTAGTGCGCTACCAGTGGAGTCAGGCTTTCTCGTGTGTTATGTCTCGAAGCAGCTTTGGGCTCAAACCACACGCAATTTGTTCTGTGCCGATTCAATATATTCTTTCGTGGAATCGATAACATCTCTGATCCTCTCCATACTAAGCATCCTGCGATTTTTGGCTACCAGCAACCTGGGAGCATACCGCTGAATACTCGCGATATATTAGAAGTACGCTTACAAAACTGCCCGCTTAGTAAGGAAAGAAACGCGTAGACCATGTTCATGTATATGAGGCTATTCTTTTACCTGTCTAGGTAAGCGGTGGCAGAGACATGGTGTAGATAGCGTCGACGGTGTGCCGGTAGCTCCCTTTCATTTTTCCCGTCACGGCTCACCATCAAGTTATCATCAACGTGTCGCTCTGCACCATCATCATCCACACGTAGACCGAAATCTACCCTGTTAATCTGGGATAAAAGCTATGTCTGCGGTCTTTGACTTTCGATAATTTTCAAAACACCAATATCAGGGACGATATTTCCATGTACCAGAGTGCATGGCTCAGTTTATCCTTTTCCTGCGCCATCTCTGCAGCAGCTGCAGCGCTATCTGGACACATATTGGATTGTCGAATGAACCTAGATCCACCCATCGTCCTGTAAAGAACATAAACTAAGTTCGAATCGATATCAGATCATTCAGCGGTGGCTGGATCCAGCCTCTTCGCAGATATACAGAGTAAACTATGATTCCCGATCCGGTAACCCAATATCCGGGCGAGGTGACTGCCCCCATAATATCTAATCTTGGATCTGGTCTACCGTGGAACGAAGGCGACGATGTCCCCACTCACCAGTCAAATACATTACCATGTCTCGATGAGAGCTACAACAAGTTCAGGGGTACATCGACCCAGCGATGATGCTATCTGCTACAGCACATGCAAGATAATGAAGTAAGGAACCAGAATTGAAATCAAAAGCTGCAAATAGATGCAGATTATATTTTCATAAGTAGATTAACATCTATGTCTAAGAACATATCAGGATCCAGCACAAGACCGTGCCAATTAAAACCTCTCTCTAGCTAAGCAAAATACAAAACATCGAATGGTATCTGAAGTTTTCCGCCCCAAACTGTACATATGGGTGTGTCAATCGTCCATGTGCCCGAGAAACATCGTTTCATAAGCCGTTGATGATTGCGTCAACTGGGCATCGTTAGTTAGGGTCTTGTGATCGGTAGAGGAATTGGGAGGCTTACATTTACAGGTTGCTGCCAAGGGTAGCAACGATGGTACCGACGGGGACACCAACGCCAGGGAGGCCGAGGCCGGTGATGAGACCGGCGAGGGAGGGAGAGAGAGAGATAAGGAGAGCACCGCCGTCAGCGCCGACGACAGTGACGACACCCTCGACCTGGGGACCGAGATCCTTGATGAGCTCGCCGAGGCCAGAGGCAGAGGCAACGATGCTACCGAGGGGGGCACCAAGGCCGGGGAGACCAAGACCGGTGAGGAGAGCGGTGACCTCAGGGGAGAGCTGGATGAGGAGGGTACCGACGTTGGGGCCGGTCACGGTGAGGATGTTGTTCAGCTGAGGAGCAAGGTCTTGGAGGATCTTGCCGTTGCTGCCACCAGCGCTGGGGACAGCAGAGGGAACGGCTCCAGTCGAAGGAGTGGGAACTCCCGAGGGGATGACGCCAGAAGCGCTGCTGGCGGTTCCGGTCAAACCGCCGAGAAGGCCACTCAGGGGCAAGCTGCTGCTGCTACCAAGGCTGCTGGGAGAGCCACCGACGACGCCGAGGAGGCCACCGAGGTTGGAGACAACGGGCAACTTGCCGAGCAGGCCACCGAGCAGGCCACCGACCAGGCCATCAACGAGTCCACGGTTGTCGAGGACGGGGGCACCAACGGCGGTGGAAGCCAGAGCAGCGAGGACGTAAGCGATCTTCATTTTGAAATGTATGGAAGGAAACAAATGAGAGACTTGAAAGATTGAGAACTGAAGAGGAATGAATGACTGAGTGAGTGAGTGATTGATGCTGAGGAAAAAGCTGTAGTTGGGAGGGTTGGGAACAGGTTTATATACAGCTCGATAGGGTGATCGTCCTATGCCAAATCCCTCCATGGTACTCCTGAAGTCTTCTGAACATAGGGAGGTGGGGACGTTCCACAGATCCAGAACCGAGATGGAATCGGAATTATGGTAATACTCTCGTGTTTAGTGGAGATAGTGCCCCTGCTATTGATGACATGAATCGCGTTATAGGATGATTGACAGACGATCTTACTTCAGAGTACAGCCAGCCTTCTGTAGTTTTGCGTCCTGTGCGTAAGTGTATTGTTTATTGTTCTTAGTGTACTCCCGTCGCCAGTACTTCGTGCAGGTATGCGGGTTGCCTGTTGCAATTTGATATATCAACAGACTCAGCCAATGATCATGTGCTTTTGTATTACGATATGTCTGTTTCAACAGATACTCCATCATGATATCACTATCTATCCCTGGACATTTGGCCATGAGAAATCAGTATCCCGTACAGCCCCGTTAGTTTCGGACATTCAGCTCTCATCTCGAGGAACTTCGCACTCCACAGTGAGGGGCCCTGTACTAATGAATCGTCGAACTTGCCTATTCCAGCTCTTCAACTGTTCCACCGTATCTACTTTGCATACAAGGTACCCGGGCTAGTGTATAGAAAGAAATCATTCTTACACACCATACTATCCTAAATGCTAGTCGGCAGATCTCGGTGCTCTAGCTTGACCCCCTCTCATCTTGACCAGAGCTGGGAGCAGACCCAATCAGCTGGAACTGGTCCAAGATGAATGGTTCCGAAAGCCGTACCATACTACGAGCTCTACCTGCGCTATGGCTTTGGACAGTGGTCCGATTTGCGTGATTGATTGGCTAGTGCCGCTCTGCGGATCGTAAATAATCTTAACCCATGGGCCCTGCCCCTGGCGAGAGGCTTAAAGGGTTCAGAAGACCGGGTCCCTGTCGATCGTTATATTAACACACATCAAAGATGTCTGGTAGATGCACAGGGTAAGTCTCCGCAGTGCCACTCGCAATGTCCAAGTATGGTTCCGCTAATGATTATACTTCGATTCAGCACCCCAGCCTTTTGCTAGTTTGTTGCGCAGATCAGTTGCTTATTCAGACGATGCGTTGAGCCACGACCAAACCTAGAATTACGGGGCAGTCGGGAAACCTCCGCGGCGCCAATCGTTATCTTTCTGGATAGAGAGCGGACATGTAATCTCACGGAGAACCCTCTCGCAAATCCTAATTCCAACTCAAATCGCGCGATTTTCCCTGCGTCGGGAGTTAAGGTTTTTCTTCTAGTTTTCTCTAGCCGAACGAAAACCGGCTAACTATCGAATACTCTAGATTGAGTGCAGATCATCTTCCCCCCCCGACACACCTTAGTCAGAAAGAAGATTCGGTAGTTCGATAGAAAAGTCAGACTAGAGAAGTGCCGGTCAATCCTCTTCACGAAGGCAATCGGCTTTTCGGTACTAGTCGTAGCAAGAAACGCTTGGCGGTGTTTTTGATCCCAACCCCAAGTTGCGCACCTCAAGACAACAACCAGCCATGCGTCTACAAGGCAGCCGTGTTTACGCATGTTCCAGCATCGCTTAGAAAGCTTGTCCCGCTGCATCCCTAAAGTAGACTCCAAAATGTGATGCAAGGGGAATAGCAAGCGATTGTTTATTTATAGAGTTCACGCCACTCTCATGGACTTTTAAGTTGCCCGGAGATGGAATCCGTGGGACAATCATCACCGGACTACCTAGTAGTTGAACCTAGACGATCGGGTCCAGCTCCGAATGATCTGGCTCAAGTCAGACCTTGGGCTTGGACCGTTCAGCTCGCTAGTTATTCCTTTTGCCCGACCTCATCATGATGGATAGGGGAGGTGTTAACTCAATCGACAGGTCACAGGTCACCGCGGGGGCGTTGGATAGATCCTTGCATTTGCCTGCATGGTCTACGTTTCGAAGTCAAACAATAACTCAAATAGAAATTTGTTTACTCGATATGTCCGATTTTACGCCGTCGCTATTACAAATGATGGTACTTTTCTTGAACCGGAAAATTGTTCCTTGGACAGCATGCGCCACATGCACTCGTTGAAATGTATCTGTAATATTACCGTATTAAACGTCATTTCACCGGCTTCCAGAGGAGCCCTGGAGTTGATCTTGTATCCTTGATAACGCTCGGGTGGCTTGACGTGTGGCGCTCTTGGCATCTGGGGTCCCCAAATGGAATCACTCAATGTATTCAGAGATGCAGTGAATGCGACACATTATGTGCTGTGTCCAGTAGATAAGCATTTTTATTATCATCCATAGGAAGTTACGGAGCTAGCTGCATGGTCAATTGCATTTTGGGGCGTTTTGGCAGTTGTGATATGTATATTATGTATGTTCAAGTTGTGGGTGATATACTGACTCGTATGTCAATATATATATTTTCAATAGTACTATTCTATAGAGCTTTCTATGCAACTACATCTGGCGCCACATATTCTGTCTAAACGTGCAAGTAGTCACTGTTCAAGGAAACAACCTTGTTGAGAAATATATATAGATTCTTTTCTCCCTAAATATTACACTGACTTGGATTCATTCTCCAGAGATATATAGCAGTAAGTTGGCTTCATTAATCTCTCTCTACGTCTATAATGCTAGCTAGTACACAAACAAATGCGTCTCTAGATCCGAGCATAGCTGACTACCACATGCATCATTACAACGGCAGACCTCCAATGATCGGGACCGGCGACATGGCCGGCTGGCCGTCCTTGTACAAACAAAGCATGATGGGATTCAACCACACCGGCGTCGCCCATAGGAGGAACAGTCCCACCCACAGGTATCCCAGCACACGCCTAACCAGAGGGTTCAATCTCTCAATCCGCGCACCAAACAGGGAATAGACAACACTCTCCCACATAACGCCAAGCGCCTGGAGACAGAAGAACCACACCGCCCCAGTTTTATCCCGGGGGACGCCGAACGCGAGATCCATTCCCATGTGGACGAATCCGGACACGGTGAAAGCGAACAGCACACGGGGGTAGCAGGCCCACCGCGACTTAGCGGGGATGCGTAGCACCGAGAAGGAGATGAAGTCCGCGTTGGAGACAAGAAGCGTGCGGAAGACTTGGTGCCATGCCGTACTGGGGAGGGGGAAACTTGTTAGTTGAGAGTTTTCACTGCTTGCGAAGGCTGGCTGAACTTACCCCCATAGTCGTGTTAAGGACCACGCTTCCGTCAGCGAATTGGCCACGGGTGGCCAGTCGACGGGGTCGTGGATTCCTAGGGCTACTAACACTACGCCGGCCAGGCTGTACATTCCTACGATGGACGACCTGCACACGATCCCGAACGAGATGGTGGTCATCGCCTGCGTGAGCATTGTTCGTGCCGACGTGCCGTGCACCCACGGGGCCAGAACCAGCTTGCTATCCGATAGTTCCGCGATAGCACCCGCCAGACGAGGGTCTTTCGGGTCCATGGTGCAGAGGTGGACCAGTAGGAACGCGATGCAGATTTTCACACTGCTCTGCAGCACAAACTTTAGACGGGACGGGACATACTGTGGATTGGCCCTATCGAACACGGGGAGTCGCGAAATCTGCCACGGCGTGTTGATGCGGCGGTAGTTGAACGCTATGTTTTGCGACCAGAGAAGTCGTCGGAAAAGACTTGACTTGAGAGAGTCCGAATTCGCTTTCTTGGCAGCTGTGCCGCTAGATCTTTTGGCCTCCCACTCTACCTGCGCCTCATAGGACACCCGACTCAACACCAGCATATCAATCGCGTTCAACACATTCACCCAACACATCGCTGCCAGTGGCCCTGTGGCCCTAGTATCGGCAAATGATTCCCCGACGCGAGACTGGAACGAGTATGCTAGGCTATTACGATCGCCGCGGCCGGGGACCGCACGACAGACTGGGAAGTTGTAAGAGCCACGGTCAACCCGGTCACCAGCTGGACGAGGCCCCATTGCGCCAGTGGGACACGCCAGGACTCAAAGGAGGCAGGGTCCATGGTTGGCGAAAGTGAAAAAAGGGTTTGGAAGGGGTACGGGAAATCGAGCTGATTTAGGCTGGGAGATTAAATTTTCAGCTTGCATTAGGGTCTACAATTTGGTTGGGGATCGGCGTCTATTTACGGGAAAAAAAAAAGACAATGATATCGCGACTTTTGACGGCCTTGATTGGTGGCATTGACGATACGAGTCAGATTGCTAGTTGCTAGGGCCTTGAATAGCCCCAGTTACTAGTGCTCTTGGACCCGCCTGGTTGGCTGAAATGAGATCGTGCAGATCTCCTTACTGTTTCTGGTATGTGGGCCATCTGGATAGCCTCCGCGATGCTTTGTCAGGTTCTCCTGAACCACCGGAGTCCGGAGTCGAGTTTTCAGGCCCCAGGCAGATCTGGCCAAGAAACTACGGCTACTCCGTATGGACTTAAGGGAGAAATGCTTATCCATGGCTAGATTTATAGTCTGATCACTAATAACGGAACCGGTAAGCGGCTGGTCATAGTATACTTCCTAGCTGATGTGTCTAGGAATCTTATTATCCAACAAGTCAAGTAACCGACAAGGAGTTCAATAGTACTAAGCACAAGAAGTTCAAAAAATAATGCCCGCCTCTCGAAATCTCTCGAATGCTTCCAACCAGCCTTCAACCGGATCCCGCTGCTCAGTAAATCCCACCGACCTCAACCTCGTGGGACTGAACTGTCGGTCAAAAGTAAGCCACCACCCAACCGAATCCAATTGCTGATTCCCAATGCCAACACCGCATGTCAGTCCCTTTGGAATCCTATTCTGAGCAAACAGATGGCGGTATTTGTCAATATATTCACTTGGCTTCAGAGCGTCATCTTCCGCGGGTCCCACCCCTTTGAGCCCGAACCAGGCCGCGATGCTCGGCCATAGGTCGCTCGCGCTGACGGGTATGTCGTTGTCCATCATATTGATAATCTTCCCACCGCACGACTCTGGATTGAGCGCTGCATGGATGGCAATGCGACCGAGGATGTCACCCGACACAGGCGTATACAGCGACCGATAACCAGCTTCGCTGCCAGGGAACGGAACCTCGATCGGTTTGTCGGCGGAGCTCTGTGATTATATGCATATAAAGAAAGGTACTGCGCCCAGTGCAAGGCAAGAGAGTACGCCGAGCCGTTCGGAGAAAACCCAACCACCGCATCGGGACAGACCTCACTCCAGGTCCAATTGCGATCTTTGCTGGCTTCCGTCAAGATCTGTCGGAACCATGGATATGCGACTGTTTTCGCGTAGTCTTCTGGTAAGCCGTCCGCCATGGATTCTTCCAGTGGTGGCTGGAAGACACCGCCAGGATTGTAAATCCCGTAACCCTGCTAATGTTACTCGCCGCCACTATGTAACTAACCAAATGGCTGGCTTACTCTTGACCCCCCGGGATACACAAACGAGCGCAGCCGTGGGGCGACGACGTTCAACGCGTCGGCCAGTCGCTGCATGATCCCGCAGTTCTGGTTACACTCTTGGACATGGTCATCGTCGAACGGCGCGAAGACTGATCGATATTAGTATCTATATCTTCATGTAGACCCTGCTTTCCGAGTGATACCGACCGAAATAAAAGACGTGGGTTATCCCTTCCGCGCCAGGGACTTTTTCTTTCAGTTGCTTCACAAGATCATCGCCGGTTGCCTGTAGCAGATCGATACCCGAAACGAGCCCAAATGAAGGTCGGTCCGGTCCTGAAGGCAAGCAGAGATCAGCCTCCGAAACGGCCCGATTGAGGACCGCGGTGACCCGAGAAAAGGGGCTGGACGACGGGTAGCCCGAGAGCAGCTGGTTCAAGGTCGCCCATCCGAGCAGTCCAGCTGCCCCGAAGACGATGGCATGCGATTCTGTCGCCATTAATGTAGATGTATGTATTGTCGAACTTCCCCGCTCTCACGGAGAGATTTAAAGTCGCGGTAATTCCAGGCGGCGTCCGTTTTGGGGTGAGTGTAGGCTGCGCAGTTGGATGAGTCGAAATGACTCATAATAAGTACATTGAAAGTAACATATTAGAGCTACACAATGTGAATTGACTAGGCAGAGGGGACTTTTCTAGCTCGCAGCATGGCCTGCGAAGATGCAGAACAAGGTGGAAGATGCACGTTTATTCATTGCGGAGTAGGGCTTGCATACAATACGCTGACATGTTCACGATATGTTCATGGCTGAGAGAAGTGCTCAAGAGAGAATCTGACGGTGGCTCCCGAACGCACTAAGGCTGTTTCCAGGATATCTATTAAAAATAGGCAATGTAGGAAAAATGCCGTGTGTTCTTCAAGCCTATTACTTCCACAGTCGACAGTATACTACAGCTCATGAGCTATTGCACTGGATGATGCCAATCTATGGTCGCTTGTACCGAGAACGATAGTGTACCTAGATTGTATGAACTGACACAGGAGGCCAGTTAAAAGCGAAATGACGTTATACCGAACCTTCAAAGCAAGAGTCGATGTCATATATACCTCTGTATAGATTAAGTGCATCTTGGTTGGATATGAGAGAGATCTATGATCCGTCCATGTGGTCGCAAACGGTAATTTCATATCAGTAGGCCGTTAACCTTTCTTATCAGAGTCTTCTACCGTAGTACAAATCTACAGATCCAGTGTCTTGACTCTCCATCTTGCTTTACCTTCGAAGCGGATGATAGGGCTCTCCGGATACACATCGTGGAGCAAGCAGGAAAGGGAAGGACCGAGATAGCAGCGGCCTTTAGCCATTCACAGATAGTTATTTCATTTGAAACATGCTTTTATTGATATCGCAAAAGGCCAAGGAATGACTGCCACTCGGTATGTGATCCACGGTTCCCCTCGAGCATGAGGTCAGATATGACCTCACCAACTGCGGCGCGCGAATTAGAACCATCGACAATGCTAAACCAACAAAGCTAAGGCTTATCGAGAAAGCTATTTCTTAATCGGAATCTAGATCGATCGACCGCCCATGACGAAAGATATAAAGTCTGCAGTCCGCTGAGTGGCTCGAGTTACGAGTCGTATATCGCAACAGCAATTGCTTCAATAAAGATATCCCATAACCAAAGACAAGATGGTCAAAGATCTTGTAAGGTGCAATTGTTGGTCGATGCTATCCCGTTATTAATCAGTTCTCAGACATTCGACGTCCGTTACGACAACGAGCTAGCCCACGACTACTATGGAGATGGGAAAAAGCTAGCTGATTAGTACGGATGCCAGAGGATTTACCCCGTCAACACAGGCTAACATCCATGAGCAGTATGCGAAGGATTTACCACGATAAGAACCTTCACTTCCCCGATGAATTCGATTCCACTTTAACTACCCCTCCGATTCATTTCATGTCGTATGTGCCTCGTGATCCAGACTAGGCTCAGAACTAACTGGAGTAGGGTGGAGGCATCGGACGAAGCCGATCTTGACGATCTGAGGAACGTAAATGTTCCTCCGGGCTTGAACATTGAAATCATGGACCTCGATATGTAAACTTTGGACTTCTGCACATGGTTTGGTCTTTGGGGCGTTGGTTTGGCGTATGGTTTGGTTATTAGGCACTATATAAGTTTGCATTTTCTACGTGCTACAGAGACCCGTAGAAATGAATGAGAAGCATCTCGATACATATGCGATAATAATGTAGTATATGTCATGTCGATTGCGCACTTGGGCATTTCCAAGCAAAAAAGAAAGGGCCCCTGGATCAGTGCGACTAAATATTCCGAGGGTGGACTAATATCCTGAAGTGGGCCCAATCTCTGTCTATTCCTGCTTTGTTAGCATGGCCGACTCTTCATGGCCCAAGCAATGTAGTCCTCAATCAGTTTAGAAGTGCCTTCACACTTCAAATCAGTCTCCCAGCGGCTGTCCATTGGTGAATCCCTGTGGTAAAGGAATACTACTATATCTGTGTAAAGTAAGCAACATCATGCATCCCTTGCGACAAGGACAGGATATCCATGTTTGAAGCTGCTTGACGGGGTTTGTTGCAAGTCACTACGTGTGCTACTTCGGTATAACTGAGTATAGAGTAGTTATAGAGCCTTACTGATTAATAGCCTTGGCGGTGACGTGGCTGTATGCACAGAAAAAAGACCTCAACACTGGTCGCATTGGTCCGTTTACTCTCTCAAACCTCTTCTCATCTTCTGGGTGGCTCCAACGTCTTATCTTGCGAAGCTAGGCCAGTAAGTCGCTGGCTTCGCGAGCTCATCCTCGCCGCCTCTCCTGAAACTGGGTCAGTCGCTCACTAGCACAGGTAGCACATATACTATCACAAGATAGCTTGGAGAATTCGTCTGGTTAGCAAGGCATTTATACGGTTCACATCTTTCTACTCCATACTGCATATCCAGTGATGAAGGTTTCTTTTACCAAGACATACTGTTGATAGGAATGGGGCAGGGCAGATTGTAATCATCAAAGCCGCACGTCACTTCCGCATCGCCAACGAGCGGGATGTCCTCAGGAAATATCAGAACAGAACACCACATCTCCGTCCCTTGATCGACGAAATAACCGGGCCTCAAACTCCGCCCGCCATCGTACTGAAGCATCTTGAGAGTGATCTGTGCACCGCTGCAGGAACCAAGAAGCTTAGCGGTAGAGAGATCAAACATGTCTCGAAGAGGGTTCTGGAGGCATTGAGTCTATTACATGAAGATGGCTATATATACACAGGTCGGCACCGAGCCCTCCGTAACTCTTCTTGTTGAGCACCAGTTTCGAACAAAAATACAATGGCAGACATTAAAATGGATAACATCCTGGTGAACTACGCGCCAGGGTCCCAGAGCACGAGTACACAACGCTTTACCGACGTCCAGCTCGCAGATCTGGAGAGTACCGTCCACGTCACCTCTGGGTTCTGCAAGGATCGCGATGAAATCGGTACGCCCATCTGGCGGAGCCCCGAGGCGCAGTTGGGTCTTCAATGGGGCCCGCCTACCGATATCTGGTCGTTTGGCACAATGGTAATTATTCCTTCTGCTAGCTTGCCAAAAACTTTATTTTCGGTGAATCCTAATAACCATGGTTTTGTGAAGGTAATTTCCATGATCTGGGGTGACAACTTTTGTATATTCAAACCAAATGTCCCCCGTGGCCACGATGAATACGAAATCAAGATCCTTGCCAACTACCATATCTATTTTGGTCCATTTCCACCGTCATATGGTGAACGTGCTGACGAGGAGACCTTGGCGATCCTATCACTGATTATGAAAGATGTGCCGCCTGAGAAATTGAGACCTTTCTCGCTGGCGAGTCAGAAGGAGATTTCACAAAAAGACAAAGGAGTTTCTCTTGAAAATCATGAAACTGGATCCAAGAGATAGGCCGACTGCAAAGGACCTAATTGAAGACGAATGGTTTAATCAATAAAGTTAAAAATTATATCTTAAGTTCCGTATATTCCCACGGTACCACAAACGGTCTCCGATTATCCCGCTCCACGTCATGTCGCGGGGAAGGATACAAGTAGCCAAAGACTAGGGCATGCCATCGGTTCAAGTAGGTATCACAATAAAAGTGCTTGGGAGCATACCATAACCGCTAAGGTCGGTCTTGGTGATGAAACGGTGGCGGGTCTGAGGATATTTCGCGAAGACAGCAGAGCCAAAAGCTCTTCTCTAGACCACCACCAGATGAGACTCTGCTCTCGACCTATGTAAGCTTTTTAAACCACCCTCACTAGCCAGTTTAGGTACTACTGTTTTACTCTTCCTCCCCTAGGCCAAGCTTCCCGCAGCGTAGCATCGATCCATGCGGGGAGGCGATTAAGCCGAGTGGTGAGGTCATCGTATACGTAAACTTGAAGATCTCGAACACCCCAAAAGACCGGGGAAGGGAGAGGGATTTATTTCCACAGACTCAAGCTTTTGCTTCCCAGTCAAAAAAAACCCATTAAAGTCCGAGCGCGCTGATCATCTCATCCCTTGCGTAGATCCCGTCCGCGGTATTGACGATCACCACCATGGTCCACCTATCCAGAGTGAAAAGGGGCAAGCAAGCCCAAAAGCCTCATCAGGAGCAAGACCAAGGCGAAGGTGCGGCGAACCCGTACGTGTATGGAACTCATTATGCCGCCGAGGAGCTGCCGGAGCATGTCATGGCCGAGCGGGAGATGCCCGCCGACGTGGCGCTCCGCTTGATCAAGGATGAATTGAGCTTGGATGGAAACCCTCTGCTAAAGTGCGCTTCTTTTCCTTCCTTGTTTTGGATCTTGATCTGATGGCGTTCTAGTCTGGCGAGTTTCGTCACCACTTATATGGTAGGGTTTGGTTGGTTGCGCGTGCGATTGATTCACTGTGCTAATGGTAGCAGGAAGATGAAGCGCAAAACCTCATGACCGAGGCGATGAGCAAGAACTTCATCGATTTCGAGGAATACCCGCAGACCGCACACATCCAGAACCGCTGCATTAATATGATCGCGAATTTACTGAACGCGCCCGTCACCAAAGACAATGGGGACCAGGATTGCCTCGGGACGTCCACGATCGGATCGTCGGAAGCTATTATGCTGGCGACGCTGGCCATGAAGAAACGCTGGCAGAACAAGCGCAAGGCCGAGGGGAAAGACTGGACGCGCCCGAACATCGTCATGAACAGTGCGGTGCAGGTGTGTTGGGAAAAGGCCGCGAGGTACTTTGACGTCGAGGAGAAGTACGTCTATTGCACCGATACACGATACGTGATCGACCCGAAGGCTGCGGTGGATCTGGTGGACGAGAATACCATCGGCATCTGTGCTATCATGGGTACAACCTACACGGGCGAGTACGAAGACGTCAAGGGGATCAACGACCTGCTCAAAGCGAAGAATATCGACTGCCCTATCCACGTCGACGCAGCGAGTGGCGGCTTTGTGGCGCCGTTCGTCAGGCCGGAGCTGGAGTGGGATTTCCGCCTGGAGAAAGTCGTGTCGATTAATGTCTCGGGACACAAATATGGATTGGTAGGTTTGGCATGATACTACGTGCTATTCTTAACTCTATGCTAACTGGTAAGGTCTACCCTGGCGTCGGTTGGGTCTTCTGGCGCTCTCCTGAATACCTCCCCGAAGAGCTCATCTTCAACGTGAACTATCTCGGCGCCAACCAGGCCACGTTTACATTGAACTTTTCCAAGGGTGCCTCCCATGTTATCGGCCAATACTACCAGCTGATCCGACTGGGCAAGCATGGATATCGATCCATCATGAACAACCTGACAAAGATGTCGGACTACTTCGCAGACGAGATCAAGAAGCTTGGATTCCTGATCATGAGCGAAGGCAACGGTCGCGGCCTACCCCTCGTTGCGTTTAGATTGAAGCCCGATGAGGACCGACTGTATGATGAATTTGCTTTGGCTCATGTTCTTCGCGAGCGCGGATGGGTAATTCCAGCATATACAATGGCTCCACATAGCAACCAGTTGAAGATGATGCGTGTTGTCCTCCGAGAGGACTTCACCATGCATCGGTGTAATATCCTACTGGAGGACATAAGGGCCGCAGTGAAGTCATTGGAAGAGATGGACGCCGAGATGATCAAGAAATACACGCTGTATGTCCTCAACCCGACCAATGACGAGTACAGGCTAACAAGAACAGGCACCTTAAGGCGCACAGCGACAGGAAACTGCCGCAGCAGCATCCACATTACAAGCACGAAAAACACTCATTGCAGGGTAGACATGGGAAGACGCACAGTGTATGTTGAGTTTCCGTCCAGACGTTGGGCACCTTCCAAAAATGTCTCATGTCAGAACACGTTCGCTGCTATCGTTTGCTCGTAATTATATATCAGATTGGTCATATTTGCCAATACAAACATAATATCTCGAGAAGAGTGATAAACTCTGAATGCAAGAGACAGTCGTGGTACACCCACCACTAGAACCAGCATGAAGTAGGAAGCGTCATCTAAAGCACAGCATGACAGCTAGTCAAGTGAGAATAAAGCAAACATGACATGTATTGCAAGTACGTAGCGATTTGCAACAAGAAGTACGTTGATCTGGGAACTCCATGTCCCAGTGCTCATAAATCCTAGGGCTTTTGCCACCATTCCAGAACCACGAGATCATGAAACCTCGTTGTTGATTAGTGAACAACTGGTCTAGGAATAAGGGAAGCTATTTCTCTTTCGTGGTACATATCCACATAAAATGATCTTCTCATTTTGATCGTCTAACTCAACCCACAAATTCAGTGGAGCCTGGTTGACAAATTTATCACCAAAATATGACCAGTACATATGTCGACATCGGCGTTCGCATGCTCAGCGCGCATTGATCCAATCAATAGACTCGTGCCTGTCCACGTCAATGCCTATAGTCTAAAGGCTGCATATTGCGTGAACCTTAACCTCTTTGGAGAAAGTCAATTGACGTCCTGCAGCGCATTAGAGTCCCTGGTCATACAGCCCCATCAAATGTCGGTAAGCCATATGCCCAGACTGTTCATGGTGACTAGCAAGGCATATCGGTGATGGTGCATTGGTCATGGTCCATTCATTGCGGCTATCCCAAATCCATCGTTGTCGATGTGAACTGGTGGCGCGTTGCCGAGAGTCCAAACCCATTTTATGCCAGTCCTCGACGCAGCTTATTTGTAATTGAAATTAGAACCGGGTTATACAAATATGCTCGCCTCTTGTCATCGTAGAATAGTGTGTTGAAAAAGAGGTCGCCACCGTTAGGTCACGGGTCAAACGGGGATAGCATGGTTGCTTTTGCTCAGAATGCAAGAGAATCTTCGCTGAGCCCACGAACCATCAGAGGCATCCTGTGTGGGAATTGGTGGGTATCGGCCTGTGGGACTATCGGCCATATAACAGTGCACTGTATAATAGTTGCAACTGCATTTCCCCTTTCGGCCAACCCCGAAGACACCATTATATGATGTATCAGGTCCGTCTCGTATGACGCCAACCCAACAACAATAGTTTGCTTCCTAGAGCAGGAAATATAAACCTTGGTCATCAATAATAGCATCCGTGCTCCGCCGGCTGTCACGCCCCGGATTTTCGTAGCGCATTCAACAGAGTACATGAACTCCTATTTGGCGACGATCACCGAGCTGCTGCGCAAACGCCTGCGTCAACGACCCCAGAAAATATCCTCTAGGGGATTTGGCTCGGATAGTTTCCGACTCTGCAGCTGATATAAAATAGACCATGTGGAGTATTGGCTCTTGACCGCTCCGTCATACAACTCACTCTGTGAATACTGATAAATATCAGACTTTGATGTTCGGATACAGCTATCCCGCGAACGCTATTGATGCTTCTCGATTAGTTTGTGATATATCCGCGACAGATCATATCCCGAGAACAGTAGTTACCTGTTAGAGGACGTTATAAAGATGAGCGTAGTAGCGAGCTTTTCGAATTGCTTTTATGCCTTCATTGATTTTTAATCCGGGTGTCTGCTTCCCTGACATCATTTTGTATCCGGGAGATACGGGAAAATGCAGGTTTTCTTTTTAGTAGTTTTGTTGGCCAGTGCCTGCCAGGTGCAGGCCAAGGCGGTATTTGCTCACTTTATGGTAAGCTTCTGCTGCTCCCTCCCAACTTCGAACTATAGTTCTAATGTCTTGCAGCTAGGGAATAGTGACAACTACACCAAGGCTAACTGGGAGCAAGACATCTCCGCGGCCAAGGAGGCACACATCGACGCCTTTGCGATCAACACAGGCTTTGGCCTATCGATCCATCGAATGCTGAGCGATGCATTCGCAGCTGCGGATGAACTGGACTTTAAGCTCTTCCTGTCCTTGGACTATTCCGGGGATGGACACTGGCCGCAGGACCAAGTAATAAACTACCTCAAAGATTTCACCAAGCTACCAGCCTACTTCAAAACCGACGACAACAAACCCCTTGTCTCGACTTTCGAAGGCGACCAAGCTGCTGGTGATTGGAAGAACATCAAGGATAAAGTAGACTGCTTCTTTGTTCCGGAATGGTCTGCGCTGCGTCCGGAAAAGTCCCTGTCCCATAAGGAAGTCGACGGCCTGATGAGCTGGACTGCCTGGCCAAATGGCACCGACCCAATGACCACCGATAAAGATAAAGAGTATATGGACGCTCTCCAGGGGAAGCCGTACATTATGCCTGTCTCGCCATGGTTCTATACCAACCTGGTGAGGTTCCACAAGAACTGGGTGTGGCAGGGTGACGATCTCTGGTACACACGCTGGCAGCAGGTACTCGAGCTCCAACCAGAGTATGTGGAGATTCTTACCTGGAATGACTATGGCGAGTCGCACTACATTGGACCGATCCATCAGAGCGGCCTCGCGGTCTTCGACTACGGGCAGGCGCCCTTCGACTATGCTAAGGGGATGCCCCATGACGGGTGGCGAAGCTTCCTGCCATACATCGTCGACATGTACAAGAATGGAGGAAAGGATGCCGAGATTGAAGATGAGGGCCTTGTCAGTTGGTACCGAGTCAACCCCGCGTCAGCATGTTCCTCGGGTAAGACGACGGGAAACACAGTTACGCAAGCGCAACAGACGCTGGAACCGCAAGAGGTGCTGCAGGACAAAGTTTTCTTTTCCGCCCTGCTGGAGTCCTCTGCCGACATTTCTGTCACTATTGACGGGAAAAGTCGAGCGGCCAGCTGGACCCATACCCCGGACGGAGGGAAGGGGATTTACCACGGCAGCATCCCCATCCATAACCAGACTGGGGCTGTTGCCGTGACCCTCACCCGCGATAATCAGCTATTAGCCGAGATTGATGGCCATCCTATCACGTCGGACTGTGTCAAAAATATGACCAACTGGAACGCTTGGGTAGGAAATGCCACCTCGACGGCGCCTAAACCTTCTTCGCCATCGGGGTCGTCAAAGCACGAATCCTCGTCTACTCGACTAATTCTGTCGGGGCTTGTCCCTCTTGCTGTGGCCTGGACTCTTTGCTTTGTTCTAATATAACGCCGGTGACGACGCGGCGTGATTCATGAGATTCGTGATATCGTTGACAACGCTCTAGGAATGGGCTTTGAGAGGGGGAAAAAGTACTGGGATACCCAACGTATGGCCTAGGCCTAAGACAAACATAATGGATAATATTTAATTTTCACTCGAATGGAGTTGGCCAATCTCACTTGGACGCATTCTGCTGTCTAGACTATAATCAGTAGACAGAAGCGACCCAGGATGCGGGCCGTCAACCCACTTGGCGAGGAGGCCCCAGGCAAGTCAAGACGTTCTGCAATGATTGGAGAATGGTTTGCCATTGTGGATAACGGCACATTCTTATTTGGGAAGGGTCTGCCTCCACAGGCTCCACAGACCCATACTTTGATCTTTCAGACCCCGACGGCGTGCACGGTCGTTCACAGTCCAGAGCGCAATGTCCTCTATCGAGGAATCACACCGTAGTATCCCATCCCATGAACTTGATTTGGTTAGATATGTCGCCTATTGGGTATCGCTTGATCAATGGTCAATGCTTTATGGTCGAGGTTCACAGCGACGCATCTGTGCTACACATCAATCGAGTCTCTTGCGGCTTCAACAGGAGTTGGACATTAGGTCCGTTCGTACACGGGGTTGGTGGAAAAATTCTTTGAAAAGAAATTGGTTGGCACGGTTGGGCTATTGGTGACAGTGAAGGTGATAACCATCCAGACAATACTCTCTGTCAGTGCAAATAAACTTTCTGTGGCAGCTGTTAAAAGGATAAGCCGAATCTACCAATCGCAAACAGTAGGCAAGAGCCAAGAAGATTTGCCGAAGAGTAGTGGAGAAATGAAGAATATCAGAAAAGCCCTGCTGGGGGTTCCCCGATGCTGTCTACTTCCTCATCAGGAAGCTGCCCAACTCACACGAGGCATGCAAGATCTGCATGAGGTAAAGAATATCCACTGGCTATGAGGGGTGGCAGCAGAGTGGCCTGTAGCGAGTGGGTGACGAGGCCAAGTCTATGACACCACAACCAGCGTTCCGTTCGCCACACTGGCGGCCAAGTCCGCTGGCCTGCAAACCCAGGCCAATCTGGGGAAATCTGTCGAACTGAGAAAGCTCAAATTAAGTTTCGTGGCTAAAATCCAGCCTTACTCTACTTGAGAGAATCCTTGGAGCCGCTAACAATTGGTGGCAATGGCCTGGAACGCTCCAGTCATGCCATAGACGGGGCAGGAAAGTCTGAGCATGATATCAAAGTTTATTCATTGACTTTTGACATCTTGCAGCCATGAATCCTTCTATAAATCCCCTGGCCGTGCCCCTGGTCCTCAGGGGAAAAACGGAAATATCAACCTTCGTTATTCTCATAGACAAAGTAGAGTTAACTTTGCATATACTGCGCATACCCAAGTGTCAGTATGTCTGGGCCTCTCGAAACCCTCGCCAAACCCTCCGCCTTCTTCGTGCGCCATGTCCGCACAAACGCGATCTCTCGTATTCCTCCTATCGCTCGTCGGTCGGCCTCGCCCCTCCCCTGTCGCATGGCAGTGTTATCGCGGGACAAACTTGAAAGAGAAGCCGCAGCCAAGAGTCCCGACTTGCGTCGTTGCTTAGGCCACCAACGACTTCTCCGCCGCTCAATAGAAGCTGCACAAGAGGATGCACGGAAGGCCATGGCATCATTCCAGCTAGAAGAAAGTGACGACGAGGACGAGATCTTTGGAGACGACGAAGACGCTCCTCCCAGCCCTATGATCCGGGAACAGATCACCAAGGCTGTCAAAGGAATGATCAAGCGTCGTGCAGCCAGTCAAGTTCAAGAGACCGACAATACCAATACGGCGCCGCAACTGATGCGCATCAGCTCCAAGAACGATAGCAGCTGTGACTTGTCAGCGAGACAACCCAATGCCTTCTACAAAACGCCATCAGTCACAACGAAACGTCGCAAACCTACCACAAAGTTTGCCTTTACCCGACTGTGGTCGTCATCCAATCAATCCGTGCAGGCAATGGCTAGCTGACAAATTCTGGGGCCTTTGTTGCATAACACAAACATTCGTCAATCTTACGACCTCCTCATGATACCTCTGCATTTACAACGGCGATGTCAAGCCATCCTTGCGAACATAGACGTCCTTCTCCTCCTATTTGCCCAAGTTTTAGCACTTGCATGTCTATCAACTAGACGCTGAACATAATCGGTTCGATTATGCTTCAACTGTGATCACACATTACGATTTCACGAAGCGAATTGTGTCACGCCCACTTTCATTTCTATGTATATACCTAAGCATATTTCCTTTCTTGTGGTTCATGTATAATTATCTTGGTGTTGAAGCTGGACTACAGCCTTGAAATATATACTATGAGCCAAAATATTTCTTTCAAAACTACTGAAGTAAGCTTTGTGGCCCACTTTTCTGTTCCGTAGCATTGTAGAGAAGCAACAAAAGAGGAGTACTGAAATGGTGAGAGAACCGACAGAATGCTTATTGCAAGCACTTGAAACTTTCAGCACGGACTACTCAAGATATCCACTGTGGAGAACCAATCCCCACGCTATAACATGTACCATATCTAAGTCTCAGTACTCTCTCGCGAAGCGGGGTTCTTGGGATCGAATCAAATCCCGACTCGCGAATATTGGTACATACAAATCGCTCCGAAATCGGCGGAGCGTCAAGGATAGAGAACAACTGAGAGGTTTCCTTACGTAGGACGGTAATGAGAGTGGCTCCGATAATAGGCTAAATAGAGCGAACTGATAGGCTTTTGAACTCAAATCGACTTTTAGCTAAAGCTAATGCAGAGGATTGTTCGTAGCACCATTTACCGTCTGCCGCGATGGAGGGTGATTGAGATCAAGCTTTCCTAGGGCCGGGCCATAACATGTGGGTAGTATACACCTCGATCTCACCGTTTAGACAGCTGGTTGGGGATTAATTTACGGTGACGAGTACAAGGAGCTGGCTCGCCCAACGCCTTGTACCCTACTGGTCTTCGTCAAGGACAAACTCGATGCTGGCCTAGACCGGGAGCTCTTCCAGTGGCCGTGCATGAAAATCGCGCATGAGAGATATCGGGGACTGGCAGACCTTGGAAGGATAAGACCCATTTGCTGACCTCTTCGACACCCTGTGCCGCCGGTACCTCCATGAGGTAGCTAATTCCAGTGGGTCTCACCGAAGAACCACGGAGTCGCTTGCGCTGTCTTCCTTCTATAGGGACAACCTGGCCACTCAGGTCCCTTTTCCTAACATTGCGTATGGGATGACCAAGTGCATTGAAGCCCATCGTAACGAGGCGGCACCTCATAGCGTTGGAATCATCAGGCATGTAGATGCCTATCAGGTGTTGTAAAGGGTTTTCAGTTCAGTTAGAATGTAATAAAGGGTGCCTGGGCTGTCATAGGGGACCCCACAGCTGTTAGATTTCCGAGTCCCATAGTCAAGTACGAGTATTCGAGCCCTTCCTGAATCATTACGTGGTATTCCCGTACAGTCATCGATCCGCTAAGCCGCATCGCATTGTATACTAATTTGCCTGGGCCATCAGGAGGAATGGTGTCGGGTTCGAGGGTTTCACGATAGAGGTTGATCGTTCGAAGCCCGACACGGAGGCCTTCAACTGATAGTTTATAGGGAGGTTTGTATTCAACTGCGGCGAGCAAGGTTTCAGTATTGCCGTTGACTCGATAGATACAGAACTGGTAGGGTCGGGAAGGACGCGTGCTTGGTAAGATCATGATTTTCATGCAGGCCTTCAGGACTGCATATATTCAGCTTCAATGACCACTACATAGTAGCCCATGGTATTTCCCACAGAACCTAAAATTGTGTTAACTTGTCTCGCTTCGAGGTATCATGACACCGAGTTATAGTTTATCGAGGCTATCTACGATTAGCCCAGTTCTATTTCCTCCTGTCCTTGGGGAAGTTGCCAATGAAGTTGCACGTTTGTAGGGCCATCCGGTTGTGAAACTTACATTTGATCCAGGCTCCCATAACCTGCGCCAAATTCATTGCCGTGGGGACTTGTAGTCGCAATGTCATTTGATTTGCACGACCCATTCTGACTTTGGTGTTACCTGTCCAGTCTTGACACCGCGAACGCAGTGGATCTAAGAAGCAGGCTTGGATTCTGAGGGAATTCCAGCCCCTCTTGGGTGGCTGGAAAGATCGAGGCCACTCGATCAAGGATCACTGCTCAAGCCGTCTGGAGCGTAATACTCTACTAAGCCGAGAGTACGGCATTAGCAACCTGCAAAAGGTTTAGTTTGCTGGTGCTTGAACTATTTTTATTCTTATATTATGCAGTTTAAGCGATTCACGCAATACATGTAATGCACGCAATGCACACAATTCAAGCAATTCACGCAGGTAACGCAATTTAAGTAGTCTAAACATTTCACGCAATTCGCTCAATTCAAGCAGTTTAAGTAGTTCAATCTAGAAATACAGTATAGAAGTAAGATTCATACGTAGGCAGAGAAATTAGAGGACAGCATAGTATACAAAATCTAATATATATCTTGCGGTAGTTGACCTTTTTCTATGCACTTTCTTAGCTCTTAAATGGCGTTGCACTAGTGTTCAGGACCCACCTGCCCTCCAACTGTGATGAGCCAGCTCGCTCGTATTTGTATACGGAGTTATGTTGTATAATATGGTACCAACCAGTGCGTCAATCGGTGACAAAGACCAATCATATGCTGGCGCAAGGCAACCAAGCAACGAAAAGATATCTACACTTGGCTCGATCAAGTTCAAATGCACCAAAACTGGAACCCAACATCCTCCGCTATCCCCTCTCCTAGACTAATGCTGTTGACAAATGATGGCTCCCTGGTTAAAAGGAATATCTGGATCGCTGGCATCATTGCCACAGGTGTGTGTGACCTCCTATAATGCGGTTAATCTATCAGGATGTTTGAATGTTCAAAATCGGCAGAAACTTACTGCGTCATCTGATATTCTAAGCGATAGACAGCATGTCTCATTTGGTTCAACAGTCCACTTATAAGAAAAATGAGTGGCGCTCAAGGCAAAACAGCCACTAATAAAAAGGTTAGTGAATATGCAACTTCATGCAAAACTAGCAAGTATCATTCCTACTTGGTAGACTGCAAAAATAAAGCTGTTAGTATAAGATTGATTCATGGATAACTTCAGTTTTCTTCCACTAACATATTCTGATGGTTGTCCTTGGAAATCTTGGCTCGGCCAGACACTAAGCGTCGCTGCAGACACATTCGTGATCAAAAGTGCAATAGTAGAAAGCTTCATTGTAAAACTGTCAACTAAGAGAGGTACACAGAGCTGAATGTTTAGAATATGAATCTTTAAAGAGTTTTGAGAAGACCTTGGGGCTCAAGGATCAGGCTGACTCTTTATATTTCCCTAGTAACTAGTGTAATAGGGTAACTGCATCATCCCATATTATTGGCAAGTCCGTGTGGATCGATCTGCAGCCTCACCTCGAAATGGCTGTCACAGCACAGTCTCTGCTAGGGAGAGTGGATGAAGCAGGACTAGTTACACAAAATAACTAGATGAAAACAATGCAAGCCTCAAGATTTAATAACCAGTGATTGACTGCCCTCCTTCCTATTTCGTACGTGTTGAGCTATGTACGGAACTCCGTAGAGAAAAGAGTTGGGGGTGTGTCAATTTTTTGACTATATTCTGTCCGCAGGCAACCGCTGATCAGTACGGCTGAACTTAGATCAGGAATGTTATTTGCCGACCTACCGCATGTACTATTAAGAGGAATATGGAGACCAAAGTTCAATAGTGTGATCTTCGGCGCAGAATACACTGCCTACCTAGTTTTTCAAGCACCACATCACCTTTCTGTTCTCAAAATGCAGTACATAGTATCGTTCTGGGGAGGTTCTATTTAGCGGAGATAGAGGGAGTCACAGTCTCCGCAAGACTAGGCAACGTCTTCGCTATGTCTAGTGAAGTACTGTGGATGGTACTGCCCGGAATTGTCCGAGAAGCCCAGTCTGCCAGGGTCCTTAGTCCTCAGGAAAGCCACTCACTACACCGAGAACTGCAACCAGTCCTGCGAGAGTTCGTCACCCTACAGAAGTCCGCAAATCCTGCGGGAGTCTCTACCCCTGCAGGACGAGTAGAGTCCTTGTGCTGCCAGAGCCCTCCAATATACAGAACAGCTATTAGAACTATCAGTTGGTTGCAACGACCCAGAGCAAAAGGAGGCAGTTCTGGGAGGAGCAGCTTAAATATCTGGAAGTGAGGAACGCATCAACCCGTATTTATATTTGTATGTTACATAGCTACCAGGGCAGCTGGGAGAGACTATGAATCAACAATAAAGCAAAGCTAGTTGCTAGGAGCCGTCAGCATGTTTCTAAGACGACTAGTCATAGATCCTGGGATCTACATCGTCAATCCTGGCGTCACGTAGAGGTAGGGCTATGAATGGACAATTGATATCTGATATCTGGTATATGTAACTATTTCACCCGGGCTCTTTCTATTCCTCCCAGATATTTTTGAGTACAATTTGAGAGTAAAAGGTTCCGAATGACCAATTTCGGAAAGCCTTAGTACCCCTCCCACCGTTTTTGGATCCAAACAAGTCTGCTGTGTATTTCACAGGATGTGATCTATCGACAATGTTCCGATACGAGCTTCTTTGGAGGAGAGCTTTCCCCCCCGCAGTCCACCGGCAAACCTTTTAGATAATCCCTTCATCGTAATGTTTATCGGCCTAGGATATGTCATACTCTGTCATGTGTCAGAAACACGAAACAGGGACGATGGAAGGGCGAATATGAACGATTGGGAATCGCATCAACGCATACCAAGCTTTCTGCTGACGGGGGCCAGTCTGGGGTCTTTGACGCAAGCGTATATATCAATCCACTTGTTCTCATGCGTAGAACCAAATAAACATCTGCTTCACACTCTTGGGAGTACTCGAAAGCTTTCTGAAACAGCGTGTCTCATCTCCTTATGATTCTCTGACTGTCCCTTCTGGATTGTGATGTATTTAAAAGAGTACCTGCCCGATTTCAAGAACAGGGCGTTACGCATGCTTGAGTGTCCATAGTGAACTGAGGTAGACCCATTTCCTCTTTCTCCGGAAGCCTTTCTTTACGATCAGAGATTGCCAGTGTGAGAGTGGCCACGAATGGTGCTGAAGTGTTCAGAAAATTATTTTTCTTCCGTGGCAGCCTACACCTGGCTTAGACAGTTCCACGCTTCATAATACGGCCGAAAATATGGATAGCATTAGTATGTGACCACCACTCGCGGTCCTCAACTTCCAAGCTACTGAGCAATATTCAACTCCACATATGCTTGAAGCCTTGTAGTTTTTGCACTTAGTGAAACTTTCGGGGAAGTGGCGAATACTATTAAAAAGAAGGACTCTTTAAAAATTGGTTCTATACCTTGTAGTCACGCCGCCGCCCCACTCCCACCAACTTCCTAAACGGGACAGACGACTACCCTCCGTGTAACTTCTTGAAGTAGTATCAATCGTTCCTGATGTTATGCCTAATATACCTTAGCAGGTCACTGAATAGGAGTTTTTCCTTTCATATTACCTTGTTGTGTTGCTCGTATTTATTAAAGAACGACAATTCGTGCATCTCATTGGTCCCAAAGGCAAAGATGAAGACCATCTCTTTGGTCAACAGCATGACCAATTGGTCACTACCTGGACATTCACGAGGAATATGCAGGTCTAAAAGGTCCACGCCGATCTCGCATCATTTATTCGATGATTATGTCTCCTAGAAGCCTTGACAACTAGATCGTACATATATCTTCAACTGGGTCGTGATCCCTTTATGTGTGAACTATACAAACCACTCCCCATTAGTTTGTTCCTGGTGCCATATTGATATCAACATGATTGCTCCATCTGTCCAGATGCGCGCTGCCACTACGTTGCAGTCCTTGGGGTGGAATGCTCGTCCAGATGTACATATCGAACTCGCCGGTCAAACCGAGCACTGCCCAAATTCCTATACAACTGGGGATATAATTGAAGGAGCTGTCTCCATCAGCGTTGACTGTGAGACAAGCTTCGATAAGTTGGATATCATATTTGAAGGTAACTTCACACCGTTTCTTTCGTACATGATCTTTCTTTCTTTCTTCCTTTTCCTTTCTTTTTCCCCTCCTCGACTTGTTCGCTTCTTCTCTTTGGCATTAACAACATTGGGTGACATCTAATCGTCACGACGTTAATACAAGAGTGACAGGACTTTCAGAAACGCAACAATCGCAAGTAATGGCACTCCCGAGTCCAGCAAAGGCCTGCCATACCTTTCTTGAGCTTCACCAGCCCATTGGAGATGTCGAATATCCTACGCCGCGTACGTTCGTGCCTGGCCAAGTCTACAGGTTTCCCTTCATTTTCGTTGTTCCAGAGCGACTCCTCTCTCCTACGTGTGATCACGCCACAAGCAATATACATGTTGGGCGTGCTCACACTTTGCCACCCCCGAGCCTAGGAGATATTATGCTTGCCAGCGATGGCCGCTCTTTGCTTGATGATATGTCGTCTGAACTGTGCCGCATCTCTTATCGGATCCGAACTTCCCTGACGAGAAGATCTTTGAGTAACGAAAATGCTAAGGAAACTTTGAAGGTAGTCGCGAAAAAAGTGCGAATCATTCCGGTGGTACAAGAAGAGCCACCGCTGGTGGTAAAGGATGACGGGAACGATTATTGTATGCAAAATGTGAAGGATATCAAAACGGGCGTTACAAGAACAAAGCGAGGCTCACTTCTGGTTACCGCGTCCCAGCCAAGTCCCCTTCGACTTTGTCCACCTGGTTCTCCATCTACAGCGAGTGTCTGCACTATGACTACGGTTTATCTGCGATTTGACCCGGTCGGAGATGAGCCGCCCCCTAGGTTGGGGTCCTTGAGCAGTAAGCTCAGTGTTTCCACATTTTACACGATCACACCATGGGCTGACTTCCCAAGTCCGTCTTACGTCGACTACCTCGGAAGGCACCACTACACAACCTCTGTTTCGCTATCGTCACTATGCGTTTCATCAATGACTTGGATCAAGCACGCCGGTGTCCAATTGTCGGAGAAGGGCGCTTGGGTGGACTTGACTCGGACCGAACCATTCCCTACAACCTCACCCACAGAGGATAGAGGCACGTATTACACAGCTGCAGTGATTGTCCCCATCACACTGCCACGGACGAAAGCATTTGTGCCCACCTTCCACTCATGTTTGATCTCGCGGACATATGCGTTGGATCTGAGCATATGCTACCACACACCGAACGCCAGTCTGTTGACTTCGCACATGTCCCTCCGCCTGCCAATCCAGGTCACTTCCTTGCCAAGATCCCAGCCTCTCACACAACCTCCACTCTATAACGAGCTGCAGACGACCGAAATCGCGATGAAACAAGGCGGAAATTAGCACACCATACGCCACCGATGGTTCAAGCTATCCTCGCTCCCTGTACACATCTTCCAAAGTTCTTCTTGAGGGCGAACGTGACTGTGAATATATGTAGGTTTGTACACCATCCTATTCGCCACAGGGAGGCCCAAGCACATATCGATTATTAGATAGAACAGCCGAGTCAATGAATAAAGGAGAGAAAAGGAAAGAGATCATCTGGATTCAGTATCTGAGCGAGCGACATTATTCGAGCGATGATTTCGGGATGGATTCCTTTGTACTTCTCCCCCATGACGTGGATCAGCTTTACACCGCTTTTGCATGGCGTTCAAGATGGCTTTCTGTATACTTTTTTTTTCAAGTTAATTACACGAATTTCCACATGGTAAATATCAACAAGTCACGTTTGGGATCGCATGTGAGAGATTGCCAATCCCTGGGGAGGGCGCATGATCTCGAGTTTGGAAAGTATATTTGGGTAGTTTCGTGTCTGAGTCTCTTTGATCTGAGCGCCATACATAGTAAGTAGCTTTATGGACCAGGGTTGACGCCGACGCAATGGCTTGGACACAATTGATTGGGTCGCGGCACATGACGAGGGGTGATTGGACGCAAGGCCCCCGCCTCCCGCGCTGGCAGTTTTTCCCCGAGAACGGTTGGGTTCCAGGCTCGTGACATGCCGTGGTCTTGTCTGGTCTCGTCTTGGCCGATGCTGACAAGATATCTCTCCCTCTTCCACTTTCTTTTTCTGTCCTTTACTACTCACTTTCTTCAGGTCCAGTCAATTGTGCAGTGGCATGAGCCCAGGTGGGATATCTGGGAAAAGTTTTTCTAGTAAGTACTCCAAGTCGTCCATCCTGCCAACCTCTCCAGGATCACCTGACTGGATCCCCCGGATTTGAAGACCCACGTGGGTGATATTCTTGGCATCGCTTTTACCGTATCGAGTCGTCCTGCGATTTCTTTGTTTGTCGCCAACCCAACTGCTTTCCTCCCTCTTTTCCATTCTCTTTCGCTGGACTCTTTACCCCATTTTATATCTTGACTTTGTTGTTCCGAACCCTTCCCCATTGATTGTTGTCGACAAGGCGGCCGCGAGAGGGATTAACTGTCGGCATTGCTGTGCCATCACTCTCCACCATGGCCGATGATGCGACTCGCGTAACCCCTCAAGGCGGCATCTTGGAAGGTGGGAATCCATCGCACTATGACAAGAAAAACCCCATCGTGATCTTCATCATTCAGGTAAGGCAAGTCTGAAGCGCCTTACCCCTGAACTGCGATGTCCAACCATCATTAGGCCAGCATTATCATCATCTTGTGTCGGGCGCTGCACTGGCCGCTGTCCAAGATTCGCCAGCCTCGTGTCATCGCCGAAGTTATCGGCGGTGTCATACTGGGTCCATCGGTCATGGGTCGCATCCCAGGCTTTACAGAAGCCATTTTCCCGGATGCTTCGATCCCCAATCTCAACCTGGTGGCCAACCTTGGTCTCATTCTATTTCTGTTCCTCGTCGGCCTCGAAACCGACCTCCGCTTTTTGTTTAGCAATTGGCGCGTGGCGGCCAGTGTGTCGGCCGCGGGAATGATCCTGCCGTTCGGCTTTGGATGCGCCATCTCCTACGGCCTGTACAACACCTTTCGTAATGAGCCCGGTACGGTCCCGATTAATTTCGGTACCTATCTGCTCTTTATCGGTATTGCCATGGCTATCACTGTAGGTTCCACGCGTCATTTCCCAAGGCCCGCTTAGTAATTATCCCAGGCATTCCCCGTTCTATGTCGAATCCTAACGGAGTTGAAACTCCTCGGCACCAACGTCGGTGTGATCGTGTTGTCTGCGGGTGTCGGCAACGACGTCGTTGGCTGGATTCTCCTCGCCCTCTGTGTCGCTCTGGTGAACGCGGGGTCTGGACTAACAGCTCTTTGGGTTCTGCTCGTTTGTGTGGGATACGTTCTCTTTTTGTTCCTTCTCTTCCGACCGGTGTTCTTGCATTTTCTCAAGAAGACGGGAAGCCTGCAGAAAGGCCCGAGCCAATCGGTGGTAGCGGTGACTCTTCTGATCGCTTTGGCTTCCTCCTTCTTCACCCAAGTGATCGGGGTCCACGCGATCTTCGGTGGATTTCTCATTGGTCTCCTCTGTCCTCACGAGGGTGGGTTCGCCATCAAACTCACGGAGAAGATCGAAGATCTGGTCGCGGCGCTTTTTTGCCCCTGTATTTCACCTTATCTGGCCTCCAAACCAACCTGGGACTGCTTGATACTGGGACGGTATGGGGATACGTGGTCGCCGTGATCGCGATCGCATTTGTCGCCAAGGTCGTTGGGGGCGCATTGGCGTCCAGACTTTGCGGCCTTCTCTGGCGGGAGAGCTTCTCCATCGGTGTGTTGATGAGTTGCAAAGGTCTTGTCGAACTGATTGTCTTGGTGTGTTCTCCTTCAGATCAGCCCCGCCAATCCTTCGCTAACGCGATTTAGAATATCGGTCTACAAGCCAATATCCTGAGCACCCGTACCTTCACCATGTTCGTGGTCATGGCGCTAGTTACGACTTTCGTCACAACCCCGCTGACCACGGCTCTGTATCCGAAGTGGTACCAAATCAAGGTTGACCGCTGGCGCCGCGGTGAGATTGACTGGAACGGAAACCCCATCCAATCCGATTCGCGCGGTAACAGCGTGGCGCTGGCCAAAGAAGAGCTTCAAGGTACAACTGTTCGAAGACTGCTGGTTTACTTGCGGCTTGATGGTCTATCCAGTATTTGCACATTAGCCGCCCTCCTCGGGCCTAGCCGTCTTGCTCAGCCTCCTCTCCCCAAAACGCATCCAGACCAGAGAAAGTCCCAAACAATGTCCCCGGAGCCAGCGGCTGAAGAGCTGGCTGCCACCGAGGTCGAGGACGCCCCTGCGCTCCAGGTGCATGGGGTTCGGTTGATGGAACTAACGGATCGTGATTCCAGCGTCATGAAAGTATCGGAAATCGAGGAATATACGCTGTGGGACCCAGTGATCAACACGTTTCGTGCGTTTGGCCAGTGGCATGATATGTCGATCATGGCGGGCGTCTCCGTGGTGCCAGAGCATTCCTATGCCGACACAGTCGTCGAATGGCGCGCGAGGAGTCTAGTGACCTTCTTCTCATTCCGTGGAGTGAGACGGGTGGCATGAGCGAGCATCAAACCGGGCTCGGTATTGATGAAGCGAGCCGCTTCGCGAATGGCCCGTACACCGACTTCGTATCCAACGTGATGCGCCAGTCTTCATCCAGCGTTGGGGTTCTGATCGAACGAAGTATCTATAGTCGTCAGACTCGTAAATCTCTTTTTAAGAAACGATCGTTCAGCGCCATGAGTGTGCGCAGCTCCGTGTGGAACAGTGCCCCCCAGCCGCTGCACGTGCTCACCACATAGTGTTGCCTTTCTTTGGCGGAGACGATGATCGATTCGCGCTGCGCTTTGTGATGCAACTCGCCCAGAATGACCAGGTTACCGCCACGATTATTCACATCGATGTGGCGCCGTCTCCACCTCAGGCTCCAGAGGTGGGCCAGAGTGCGCCAAGTAGCAGCACGCAGGACAAGTCTTCCAGTCAGGTCTCAAGCGCCCTCCAGGGATCAGAGTCAGATTCTATCTTCTTCAGCGCCATGAAGGACTCCCTTTCTGAAGAGCTGAGCTCTCGGGTCGTCTTCAAACGTGTCAGCCCATCACGAGGCAGCACCGACGCTGTGGGTGTCGCGGTCACTGCCGTGAAAGAAGAGATGGGTAAGGTTCCGCAAAAGGCCGGGAACATCGTCGTGGTGGGACGAGGCAACAATCGAGTGGATCTCAGCGGCCCCTCTTCATCCTCGCAGGAAGAGGTTGGCGCCGAAGCCAGCCGGGTTCTGGGACCGGTCGCACAGGCGATGGTTCGTACCGAGAATCGTATCGTGGGTGATGTTCTTGTGCTACAAGCTCGTGTGGGTGCTGTGGGTGGCCGGTAAAGGCCTTTTGGCATGAACAGTACATATATACCCTAGAACCTGGTTTTGTATATGCCTGGCAGTGTTTGGTGTTATTTAGTTTTGTCTCAATGATCGACCCCTGAACTTCCATTCGGATCCATTAACTCTCCGTATCTTAAACGCTCACCGGCTCCTCCAACGTCGATCGGTAATGTAACAAGTCTTGTAGAACGCATGGCCTCTCGACACACGTCCCTCCACAAAAAAAGACAAGATCTACAGACACAGCACCCACTCAAACAAAATATGTACTTTTCCATAAATGATGACTATTATTACACAATCATAATCATATCCAACGATGTATCTACAATCACATCAACATATCTACATTAATCATCCCACAACAAAACAACCCAAATCACCCCTTTCCCACAGCGAGCCCAGCTCACCTAAAACCCCGTATTGGTAGAAGCCAACCTCGACCTCTTCCTGAGGGCGGGACCCCACCAGAACAGCACATACGGAATGAACGTCAAAAACGTCGCCACCAAAGCCAGGATAAGCCCGGCATACTGGCTCCCCACGTTATGAAAGAACTGGGACGCGAAAAGCGGCGACACCGCGCCGAGGGTATTCCGCATGAAGCCCTGACCGGCGATAGCGGACGACGACGACTCGCCATAGCAGTCGGAGGTAAACGAGTAGCACGACTCGAAGATGAAGAAGATGCCGATGGTGATGAGGACGAGGGCGATGAAGGGCCCGATCCAGTGCAGGAACGCGTACTGCGTGAAGCTGTAGATGAACAGCCCGACGGGGAGCCAAACGGCCCCGAAGAGGGCGCCGTATAGTCGTGCCTCGGGCGGCGCGGTCCCGTTCTGCGCGACAATCGAGTTGTATTTCCGGATCTGTAGGAAGTTCAGCCCGAAGCCGATCGTCGTCCCCAGACACAGTGAGATGTAGGGAAGTCCCGACACGCCCTCGCCCCAGCCTTTCTTCTCCTGGAAGGTGATCGGGATCACGGACAGGAAGAGGAAGGCGAGGAACCAGGCGAATGCGATCCAGAGGCCGAAGGCGAAGACCACGGGCTCGGTGACGAGCATCTTGCCGGCCTTGATGGACGAGTTGTAGAGCATGGTTTTGATGTCCGGGGCTTCGAGGTCGGTGGCGGCTACGTAGCGCTCGTCGCCGGTTTGCCGGCGGATGAGGTCTGCGCGTTTGCCGAGGGCGACGCTGCCGCGTGTCTCGCGGAGGCAGAAGAAGCAGACGATGGCGAGCGGGATGTTGGCGAGCCCCTGGATGCCTTCCACCCAGCGCCAGCCCAGGGCTTGGTCGATGAAGCCGGCGTAGATGGGGGCGCCGACGGTGCCCAGGATGGCGATGTAGGAGAAGCTGGCCATGGGGGATGGCGCGCTCTTCAGGGCGGTACATGTCGCCGAAGGTGCCGCCGACGAGGATGGTGCCGACGCAGCCGAAGAGGCCGAGGAGGGCGCGGCAGACGAGGATGGTGGCGATGTTCTTGCCCAGCGCGAGGCCGATGAACATCAGGCCGAAGCAGATGTAGGCGCCGACGTAGATGACGCGGCGGCCGGCGAGCTCGCAGAAGGGGGCCAGGAAGAGGGGGGCGAGGGCACAGGTGAAGTTGAAGGTGAAGAGACCCAGCTGGCCTAGGATGGTGGACACGCCGAGGTCTTTTGTCATGCGGTCGATACCGGAACTGTAGGCGGTGGTTGCGAGACCGATGAAGAGCGTCATGAGACAGAGGAGCACCGAGATGAAGGCCTTGTACCGGGGGTCCCAGTTGAAGGGGTTTTCCTTGTCGCCCTCGACGAAGTCGAGTAGGATACGCTCCTTTCCATC